GGGGGGCGGGCCGGCTTCAGGCAGCCAAGGAAGATGGCCCTGATTGCAGGCCAGGCCTAGGGACCATACCTGTGCATGAGTTTCGTGCGCCGGGCCTCTAATTAGTTAAATAAAAGTAGTAAAGAACTTACTAGCATGTTTCATTTTTGTTCCTGTCTGTAGTTGACTTTCACAGTGACCTTCGTGTTCTAAGTACATCCTCAGAGGCTTTCTGAGTCTAGAGTAGCAACAGTCAGAGAAGATGGATTATATGATTTCCAGGTTCTAATGGACTCCAAGAGGAGGCGTGGACATCTGAAACAAAACAGTGAAGTTAGTGTTGAGGAAATGTTTAAACACTGTGAGGTGATTGAACTTGATGTGGAGATGAACTTGTGTAGTTAAGCTAGAGGAGATGTGGGTAGGAGTGGCTGGGAGCATGTTGTGGTATAGTTCCTTGGGAGTTGGTTCTTTGGAGTACATTTTGGTCATTCATCATAATATCCTCGTCATTTCTCAAGTGGAGATTACTCTGCTCATTTATCGTACTATCAGCCAAGGGAACATACTGGCTGGAGTCACAGCATTGCCCATTCATTATGAGTTACTCCCTCTGTTAAAGCAAAATAACTTGCTTGGTTGGGTGGTTGAGGGTCAAGCTCTACAAGCACATTACTGTTTTCAGGCTGTTGTAGAGTGATACAGACACCTCTTAACTCATTATTTGATAGTCCTCATCTCTCTATGACCTCTTTTATTTCTGTGCAGCACAATTATGATAGAATAGTCACCACGTGTTAAGTTTTCAGAAGATAGATTTTTTTCCCCCTAGGAGGAGAAGTCAGATTGGAGTCAGGATCCTTGACGAGATTCTTTGTGAAAGGGAGTAACTCACACTTTTCTCATTTCTGTCAAGGAAGGTGGATACAAGCCACAAGCCATTGTGCAAGCTGACAAGTTAACTCTTAACAAAAGGAGAGGTTTGACAAATGTTAGGCTGAAAACGTGTCGGTGGATGAGGCATTTGGAAAACAGGAATCCTCATGAAGGCTGCAATTTGTGAAGCATGGCAGTCCTATTTCCAGGGCAGCCTAACTCAGCAAGCCTCTCTGTCATTCTTCCTGTCTGTGACTTCCTTTCTCCAGAGAGAGGGGCCACGCTCACTTGTTGTTTTGTTTTGATTTTTAGTCTTAAATGAAGACTGGCTATACTATTATTCATGTTAGTTAATAGAAACATTTTAACAAAGCAATGTTTGGTGAATGGTGACCAATGATGAGAAAAATGCTGGCAATTTCTCTTCACTAGCAATCTAGCAAAATAAATCATCCTGTTTGATTTGTAAGGAAGGATACTTTTTGGTTATTGTTTCTCAAATTGTTTTACTTGTAGTATTAAGACTAAGTAATGTTTTCTTCTTTCTGTATTGTGTGCAAACCTGTTAGAGGTTATTATGGACATAAATGGGCTTTATTAAACAGCTGCTGTATCCTCTAATGGCTTCTGAGACAGTGGCCTAGAAGATCCTTAAAATAACAGATTTATCTGGTCTACCAAAAGGCTGGAGCATTTCAACCTAATTGGTGATCCCATTCATTTTACGACAGTCCTTTGCAGAAGAGATTTTGTCTCACAAAACTGTATAAACCTTATTATTTTCTGGTGAAGTATGAATGGCTGCACAGAGCTAGCAGATGGTTTTTATAA